AGAAAAACTAACGAGCACCAAACAAATCCAACTTGATATCACACAAAAGATAAAATGTATTAAAACGAGCGTGAAACACATCTAACTTGATAACACACTACGGATAAAATGTATTCTTACGAGCATTAAACATATCCAACTTGAAAGCACACAACAGAAGCAACATATATACTAACAAGCATCAAGCACATTCAACTTGATATCGCACAACAGAAACAACATGTGTACTAACGGGGATCAAACACATCGAACTTGATATCACACAAAAGATAAAATGTATTAAAACGAGCGTGAAACACATCCAACTTGATATCACACTACGGATAAAATGTATTCTTACGAGCATTAAACATATCCAACTTGAAATCACACAACAGAAGCAACATATATACTAACAAGCATCAAGCACATTCAACTTGATATCGCACAACAGAAACAACATGTGTACTAACAAGGATCAAACACATCGAACTTGATATCACACAACAGCAATTAATGTATACTTAAGAGCATCAAACCTATCCAACTTGATATCACAAAATAGAAAGAAATATATACTAAAGAACATCAAAACACATCCAACTTGATATCACAAAGCAGAAACAATATGACTACTAACGAGCATCAAACTTATCCAACTTGATATCACACAACAGAATGAAATGTATACTAACTGACATCAAACATATCCAACTTGATATCACACAACAGATAATATGTCAAATAACGAGCCTGAAAAACATTCAACTTGATATCACACAAGAGAAATGACATTTGTACTAATGAACATCAAACACATCTAACTCGATATCACACAAGAGAAACAAAAATGTATACCAAAGAATATCAAACAAATTCAAACTGATATCATATAACAGAAGCAACATGTGTATTAACGAGCATCAACACTTCAAACATGATACCACACAAGGAAAAGAAATGTAAAATAACGAGCAAGAAACACATCCAACTCGATATCACTCAACAAAAACAGCATGTATACTAAAGAGCATCAAATACATCAATCTAGATATCACAAAACTGAAAAAAATGTATACTAACGAACACCAAACACATTCAACATGATATCACACAACAGAAAGAAATGTATATTTACGGGCATCAAACACATTCAGCTTGATATCACAAAACAGAAACAACATGTATACTAAAGAGCATCAAATACATCAATCTAGATATCACAAAACTGAAAAAAATGTGTATTAACGAGCATCAACACTTCAAACATAATACCACACAACAGATAACATGTAAACTAACGAGCATCAAACTTATCCAACTTGATATCACAAAACAGAAGCAACATGTGTATTAACCAGCATCACCACTTCAAACATGATACCACACAATAGATAAAATATAAACTAAAGATCATCAAACACATCCAACTTGATATCACACAGCAGAAAAAAAAGTATACTTACGAGCATCAAACACATCCAACTTGATATCACAAAACATAAACAATATATGTATTAACTAGCATCAACACTTCAAACATGACATTACACAACAGATAAAATTTATACAAACGAGACTCAAACTTATCCAACTTGATATCACAAAACAGAAGCAACATGTGTATTAACCAGCATCAATACTTTAAACATGATATCACACAACAGAAGTAAATGTATAATAACGAGCGTAATACACATTCAAGTTGATATCACACAACAGAAATAAATGTATAATAACGAGCGTAATACACATTCAACTTGAGATCACACAACAGAAACAATATGTATAACAACGAATATGAAGCACATCCAACTTGATATCACACAAGAGAAACAAAAATGTATACTATGGAGCATCAAACACATCCAACTTGATATCACACAACAGAAACAACAAGTGTATTAACGAGCATCAACACTTCAAACATAATACCACACAACAGATAAAATATAAACTAACGAGCATCAAACTTATCCAACTTGATATCACACAACAGAAACAACAAGTGTATTAACGAGCATCAACATTTCAAAAATGATATCACACAGCAGATAAAATGTATACTAACGACCATCCAACACATCCAACTTGATATCACAAAACATAAACAATATATGTATTAACTAGCATCAACACTTCAAACATGACATTACACAACAGATAAAATTTATACAAACGAGACTCAAACTTATCCAACTTGATATCACAAAACAGAAGCAACATGTGTATTAACCAGCATCAATACTTTAAACATGATATCACACAACAGAAGTAAATGTATAATAACGAGCGTAATACACATTCAAGTTGATATCACACAACAGAAATAAATGTATAATAACGAGCGTAATACACATTCAACTTGAGATCACACAACAGAAACAATATGTATAACAACGAATATGAAGCACATCCAACTTGATATCACACAAGAGAAACAAAAATGTATACTATGGAGCATCAAACACATCCAACTTGATATCACACAACAGAAACAACAAGTGTATTAACGAGCATCAACACTTCAAACATAATACCACACAACAGATAAAATATAAACTAACGAGCATCAAACTTATCCAACTTGATATCACACAACAGAAACAACAAGTGTATTAACGAGCATCAACATTTCAAAAATGATATCACACAGCAGATAAAATGTATACTAACGACCATCCAACACATCCAACTTGATATCACAAAATAGAAACAACATATGTACTAACGAGCATCATACACATTCAACTTGATATGACACAACAGAAGGAAATGTATATTTACGGGCATCAAACACATTCAACTTGTTATCACACAACAGAAACAACATGTATACCAAAGAATATCAAACAAATTCAACCAACCTGATAACACAAAACAGAAGCAACATGTGTATTAACGAGCATCAATACTTCAAACATGATATCACTCAACAGAAGGAAATGTATACTAACGAGCATTAAACGTATCCAACTTGATATCACAAAACAGAAACAACATGTGTTGTAACTCACATCAAATACTTCCAACTTGATATCACACAACAGAAACAATATGTATAACAACGAATATCAAACACATCCAACTTGATATTACACAAAAGAAACAAAAATGTATACTAAGGTGCATCAAATACATCCAGCTTGATATCACAAATCATAAACAACATGTGTATTAACGACCATCAATACTACAAACATGATATCACACAACAGATAAAATGTATAATAACGAGCGTGATACACATTCAACTTGATATCACACAACAGAAATAAATGTATACTTACGTACATCAAACACATCCAACTTGATATCACACAACAGATAAATTACAAAATAACGAGCATCAAACATATCCAACTTGATATCACACAACAGAAGGATATGTCTACCAACGAGCATCAAACACACCTAACTTGATATCAGACAACAAAAACAACATGTATCAAACATTCAATTGATATCACAAAACAGAGAAAAAAATGGGTACTAACGAGCATTAAACTTATCCAACTTGATATCACAAAAGAAAAACGACATTAGTACTAACGAGCGTGAAACAAACCCAACTTGTTTGATATCACACAAAAGATAGAATGTACAATAACGAGCATCAAACACCTTCAACTTGGTATCACACAATAGAAACAGCATGAATACTAAGGAGCATTAAACACATCTAACTTGATGTCATGCAACAGAAAGAAGTATATACTAACAAGCATCAAAGGCATCCAACTTGATATTACACAACAGAAACAACATGGGTACTAACAAGAATCAAACACATCCAATTTGATATCACACAACAGAAACAAATATATACTAACAAGAAACAAAGGCATCCAACTTGATATCACACTACAGAAACAGCATGGGAACTAACAAGCATCAAACACATCCAACTTGATATCACACAAAAGATAAAATGTATAATAACGAGCATAAAACTTATCCAACTTGATATCACACAACAGAAAGAAATGTATACTTACGAGCATCAAATATATCCAAATTGATAGCATAAAACAGAAACAACATGTGTATTAACGAACATTAACACTTCAAACATGGTATTACACAAAAGATAGAATGTACAATAACTAGCATCAAACACCTTCAACTTGATATCACATAACAAAAGCAGCATGTATACTAACGAGCATCAAACACATCTAACTTGATTTCACACTTCAGAAACAAAAGGAATACTAGGGAACATCAAACACATCCAACTTGATGTCACACAGCAGATAAAATGTATAATAACGAGCATCAGACCTATCCAACTTGATATCAAAACAAAAGAAAAAAATTGTATACTAACGAAAATCAAACACATTCAACTTGATATCACACAACAGAGACAACATGAATACTAAGGAGCATCAAAAACATCCAACTTGATGTCACACAACACATAAAATGTATAATAACGAGCATCAAACCTCTCCAACTTGATATCACACAACAGAAAAAAAATGTGTACTAACGAGCATCAAACACTTTGAACATGATATTGTTCAAGGATATATAATATTTACAATCATTATGACGACCCTAAAACTTTCCAATCATTGTCATCAATCTGCATCTTTTGAAACCCTGTGTTGCAAATTAGTCTGTCGGTTGCCAACATTATGCTCGAAAATCGGGATATTACTAGCAAGCCTTTTCTGATCTTAATATGCATAATTTAATAGCCTAGGTGTGAATAGATTGTTTTTTGCAGGAAATGCTATATTCTCGATGAATATTGTTGAATGAAACTTTCTGAGAAATATTGCTTGTTATGTACTCTCCTTTATAACAAATAAAATTACTCGAAGACACTTGTTATCTTTCCGGACTTATATATTGATGAATTTTCGAAACATATCGGCTTATTATTGCAGCGATGCCAACGGTTGCCATGACACCTCTCTAATAGGTGTTCATTAACGCAAATGTGACTATGTGCCGTAGGTGTTGTGTGCAAACTGATAATTATACATGAGTTATGTATACTTAAATTGCAGGTTGTCATATATACGCCTTAAGTAGGCCTGGAACTAGTCATCTACGTATGGTGGTAGCGGTACAGAGACGTTTACTGCTGTTCACTTGGAAGCATTCTGCTGTCTGGTCTGCCTGGTGTCCTACTGTTGATTTCGAAATAGCAGACGGTTTCAGCTTTGTAAGGGTATGTTTAACAACACCACTTAGACCTGTTAACAAAATTGTGATTCCAACGCGATGAAATAAGGAAAAAGGGCAGAAGGGTTCAGAATGGTCAGTGCCCTCTACTTCATAAACAAACAATACTTCATAAATAAACAAAAAAATAAATCAATTTTGGTCAATAACGCTATATGTTTTGGTATAAGGTAGGTTACTGTCTAGTAATAAGGAAATAGAATTAGAAAAATGAAAATTATAATGCATATCGAATAGCTTAATAAAAAGCTTTCCTGTTGTTGTCTTTGTAAATAAATAATAGAGGTGATAATGTATATTTAGTCTATTGTAGGATATTTTGACCCTTCCTTATATAAAAGAAATGCAAATCAATGGGTATAAATTGGTGAGAAAGATTATCAATATTTGAATGCCTGTGTTGTGTACAATCTATAATATGAATTAAAATGGCATAATGGTTATGTTTGTTTTATCAAACCGGCGTTATCAATATTGAATCATTATTATTTACCAATGTCTGTTCCTCCTCTTAAAGATGGTTTCCAGATTTAAATACGTTTTTCTAAAATTGGTTTTTACATTACAGCAGTGAATTTTAAGTATATGTATTTTAACAATAGGAGTAATAAGCATATTTCATCAAAGATTTACTTTTTTTTCTAATTCAATCTAAACTATTCTTTGTAAATATAAGTTGAAACCAATACCCAGAATAAAACGCATCAATTAGCAAAAGTTTGGGATGACATGTTAGACAGAGATCATACACATAGTACTCTAAGATATTCATGTAACTTAAGCAACACTATTTGAAGAACATTGAATGTCTAGCACGTCTTTTTTTTCTAATTATAGCCTACATACAATTTATTGCTTACGGATATAGAAAAAAGGATATAACAGTGAATCGAATAAGAAAAGTGTGATAATATACTAAATCTTATCATAGCATAGGGTTTACAATCAGGAAAGTGATAATATAACGGGTAATGGCATATCTAATATAGGCCTTTTTATTTTTTGTTATTTAATTATTATTTTTACAATTTTCCAGTGACATTTGTACAAGAGAACATATTACGGTATCAAGCTTCAACCTCCTGTACACTGTACACAGTCTATCATCGTTTGCTTTGTCATCTCTTTCGATAGGAATCTTTCACATATTTGTAGTTTAGTTACAGTTAATCTCTTATGTTTTATTGACTAACATATTATTCGACTAATTCTGTAGCAGTATGTGTATGATATATTAACATGACTAATTCTGTAGCAGTATGTGTATAATACAATAACATGACTAATTCTGTAGCAGTATGTGTATGATACAATAACATGACTAATTCTGTAGCAGTATGTGTATAATACATTAACATGACTAATTCTGTAGCAGTATGTGTATAATACATCAACATGACTAATTCTGTAGCAGTATGTGTATAATACATTACCACGACTAATTCTGTAGCAGTATGTGTATAATACATTAACATGACTAATTCTGTAGCATTATGAGTATAATACATTACCGTGACTAATTCTGTAGCAGTATGTGTATAATACATTAAGATGACTAATTCTGTAGCAGTATGTGTATAATACATTAACATGACTAATTCTGTAGCAGTATGTGTATAATACATAAACGTTTTCCTGACATGTTTAGACGCGTCTGCTTTCTCTGGTAGGAATTATATACAGATGAGCAGCCATCCTTGGTAACACTGATAGACGGAAATAAAGAAGACAACCAAATATGTGTGGGATATAAAAATCAATTCGACCTTATCAATGAAAAAAATGGCGATACCCTGCAGTTGTACCATGTCGAAGCCAATAAGGTAATGGATTATCTCCTGGTATGTAACATGATTTCTTTATCATTGACTTAAAATATACCATAATTAAAATCTTAATCTAAATCAGAATTTAAAAAAGTACCTCTCAAATTCAATTCCCATCTACTGAAATTGTATTTTTAATTTGTCTGGTTTCATCTTTGATATAGGTGAAACTCGTATCTGCTCTGGATATATACGAGGATGAAGAAGCAGAACTACTTCTGTGCTACAATCGTAAGTTTAGCATCACTGAAAATACCTTCTCTGAAACTTTCAATTCACCATGCAAGACAATGATTTACAATTTTATTGGAGCATATGAAAGTTCTATAAACTAAATATGGTCATATATAAGGGATGATATCTGTGAAGTGTACCATGTGCCTTCTGGTATTCCGTAAGGGACTCCATTATATCATTACGTCAGGGACAGGGTATATAGTAATCACTTTTCACGTGTTTGCGAGAATGCGTGCGAGTGTGCTTGCGTCTGTGATAACCTTGCTCATAAGATATCTTATGCACCCTGAACATATTTGGTTCATATTCACACCATGGCATCCTACCATCAAGATCGACACCTTATAAAATCTTGATGGTCATTAGTCAAGGTTAAAGTTAAACTTCGACAACTTTTTTCACTTCATTTTCCCTTCTGTATACTATGTCATGTGATTATGGTATCCCTTAAAGGAATATCATGTTACTTAAGGTACCCATTGAATACTCACTTACTTCTGTTATGCCCTTTCTGAATTAATTTCTTCTGTGTAGCATATCGTGTGACATCTGGCATCTTGTAAAACACTTGCCTCTTATGTGCAACATATCAAATGACCTTCTGGTAACATGTAGCGAACATTATTACTACTCAGTAACGCAACAAGTGAGTCCATGTAAAACGTAAAATTACAAATTATGTTTCTGCCTCATTATAGTGCGTAGCTGCGACATAGATATATAAACTTGTTCCATTGTACTGTGTATGTCGGACCGTTAAGATATTCGGCTTTTATTTTATCAGAATCAAGCCTAATGAATTTGCGATAGGAAAGTATCCTGACTATATTCAAGGTCACAGAGGCCCGGGTTTTAAACATGCATGAGCGATCTTAATCGGATTAAAGAAAAGGAATCTTTCAGAAATTCCGATATTAACTAGTATCGCAGGCCTACCAATTGAAATCTATTACATGTAGGGATCTATATATTATAATGACCCAAAGAAGTCTTAACGTCCAGAAAGACAGGACAGACACCAGTAAACTTATGTTGTTTTTTAATTTCAACAGATGTGAGTCATTTCCAAAAGTTAAGTGAGGAAACATCACATGATTTTGACTTTCACTGGAACAGCGAACCACAGGCGATCGGTAAGTAACATATATGGTATACAAAAATTATACTTGGGTATTGCTTGCGAAACATGGCAACATGATCATAATTCAAACTTAAATTCTGTAAAACTAGGGGAAAAAACTGGATTTGGGCACACTGATTGCACATTCAACACTCAAATATGTTATTGCCTAAACCAGCGAGCCTCGGGCTATTGGTTGGTGTCTGCAAGCAATCACTTACCATTAAATGAAACGTTTTAATGCAGAAACATGATAGACGGTGTACCGGAAAAACGGCAAACGATATTAAATGTAAATAAGATTAACGATCCGTGAAATGAGGACAAAGCGTTAAGAAAAGAAGGACTGATATTTCCATCAATCCAAAACGCACGCGAACAAGCAGTGAACAAATGACAAGGTGTTTCATGATAATAAACTGAATATTTTAAGATTGATGAAATTGGCGGACATAAAACTAAGTTTTTATTAACCTGTATACAAGAAACCATGATAAATGAATTTATCTATATTTTCTAGTATAACCTGAAACTAGCTCTCTAGATATTGATGTATATTTCACCTGTCGTGTACCCATCATTACACAAAAAGTTAAAGAACAATAGTAACAATTAAATGTGTGTATTACATTGAGTGTGAAATGACAACTAAGTGTTTGTATTAGTAGTATCAGCGAAAGTTTTAAAAAGAAAATATCCGACAGTTTATGTTATGTGCAAGAATAACAACGAGATGTTTACATTTATTCCATGTACCTGGTGAAGGTATTGAAGGAAATCATGTATAGAGGTGAACAACTCAATCATGTACCTGTCGGAGTTATTGAGTATGGAATATATATTAATGTTTACTTCACTTATGTGTTCTTGCCGAAGGCATTGAAAAGAAATAACAACCACAGCTTAACGTCTCTACCACGTAAGTTTCGGAAATATTGAATATGAAAAAAACTACTAGAGGCTTACGTCGCTTTCGTGTACCTGCCTGAGACATTTACCATGAAATAACAGTTAGTTAGAGGTTTACTTCTCTGACGCATGTCCGTCGTAGATATTAAGTCGTAACTGTTGGGTAAATAGACTATCCGTAAAATATCTTCGTGTAGCTATTGATAATATATCATTCCAATGTCTATTTTAGTGTGTGCCTTTCCCTACGTCATGGCGTTTACACAAGACACAATAGAAATTCGTCTGATCATTAACGGTAACTTGGTCCACACCATGACTCTTCCTGACCTCAAGCTTTTCACATCAAAGGTATATATGCAAATTTCACGATACTAATCGTTTACATTTAATCGTGCACATTTACATTTTAACATTTTGCGAGGGCTACTTTAGCATCCTTGTACTAATGAAGACGGTTAAAGATGGTCACAACACATGCTACAGTGTCTGTTAGTGGCAAAAAAACAACTTACATTTCGTGATAGACATCAATTTCGCAAACCGTCATTGTGCGTAGAAGAAACTGTTTGCTTCTGAATCTTTAATGGATGACGATGACGCGTTGTGTCAATTGAAGATCACTCTGATATATATTTTACCTCTGACCTAAATAAAAGAAACAGCTTTCCGTGCCTATCAAACACACTTCTGATCACAGGACCTTCATACCTAGTATTTGATTTAGCTTTTTGAGGCGGTTTGTCTTGTGTCAGGAGTAGGCCACTCTGACCTAATTCTGACATTTGACCAACATCAATGAAAAAGTGTGTCCCGGCTGTGTTCTATTTCTTTCTATACTACTTATCACTGTTGCGCCATACTCTTTGAAATGGATTACCGAGTCAATGTGTCATGTTCAGTGTATCAGAAGTAGGTACATTAATGAAATACAGCATACAGGTTGGTCTTTGCATGTTTTCATGTAAACTGGTTTACTTTTATTTTACCATTCCAGTGCGACATATACTTCGCTTCAACTGTTGGAACCGGCTTATCACCGACCGAGAAAACGAGAGGGGAAAAAGAAAGTGCCTCCTACTCACCTCCTCCATCGCCATCAGGTAAATAGACCAGATAAGATATCTGTGTCGTTCCTGTGTTCAGGATAAAGCTACAGGAAACCTAGAACACATTTAATTGTTAATGAACTCCATACTCATTATTGTTTACATTTTAATATAGACAATATAACAAATAAACTATATTAAAGCTAGACTGATCCTGTTAAATAATACCACCATCGTCCCCTCCCTCTCAAAAAAGAATTCAATGAAAAGTTTCAATATGGGACTGAAGCTTGAACTGATTTACTAACCTTATAGCGAAATTCAGCTTATGATCTTCAGGCAGGCAAATGGTAAGTAAAGAGAGGGAAATCGCATGAAAACTCTTCGGTAAAAGGAAGATTCATAGCATTTCTAATATATGGGACTTTACAACCCGGAGATACTTCATATTGAAATCTAAATCCTGAGACAGAATATATCCAGAATCAGAATAAGACATAGTAAAAAGAAAAGCGGAACGTGTTTATCTTAATGAATCGACACATCGGCTTAGAAACTGAAGTATCTTATGAAAATTCTTCTCATACTGCGGGCTGTCCGATAATGGTCCCAAACATGGCTCCGATGTTTTTAATGTAACGAGAGAAACATCGATTTATAATCACTATGGTGAACAGTAGAAATATATCTGATCCCCTCCCTCCACCACAGAAAAAAAGAGTACAATGTAATAAGACAGACGGCTATTAAACTAAATTTGGCGTATTGATTATGATATGCATATAGGTCATTTTTAATGAAACGGTGCTATTTCTCTTTGTTCTGGACATAAATAATCTACACTTGATCTTAAACAACACTTTCATCAACGTGATTACCGACATCATGAATGAGTAAAGTTATGTTCTGAATGTCTGAGTGGTTTGTACCAAAATAATCTTAAGTTATGAATGTCGGATGGGTTTGTACCAAAATAAAGTTATGTTCTGAATATCTACCTGGTTTGTACCAAAATATTGTTAAGTTCTAAATGTCTACTTGGTTTGTACCAAAATATTGTTATGTTCCGAATGTCTACCTGGTTTGTACCAAAATGATGTTATGTTATGAATGTCTGCTTGGTTTGTACCAAAATATTGTTATGTTCTGAATGTCTGCCTGGTTTGTACCAAAATATTGTTATGTTATGAATGTCTGCTTGGTTTGTACCAAAATAAAGTTATGTTCTGAATGTCTACCTGGTTTGTACCAAAATATTGTTAAGTTCTAAATGTCTACTGGGTTTGTACCAAAATATTGTTATGTTCCGAATGTCTACCTGGTTTGTACCAAAATAATGTTATGTTATGAATGTCTGCTTGGTTTGTACCAAAATATTGTTATGTTCTGAATGACTGCTTGGTTTGTACCAAGATAATGTTATGTTCTGAATGTCTGCCTGGTTTGTACCAAACCAAAGATATGTTCTGAATGTCTGCCTGGTATGTGCCGAAATAATGTTATGTTCTGAATGTCTGAGTGGTTTGTACCAAATTAAAGATGTGTTCTGAATGACTGTCTGGTTTGTACAAAAATAAAGATATGTTCTGAATGACTGCCTGGTTTGTACCAAAATAAAGATATGTTCTGAATGACTGCCTGGTTTGTACAAAAATAAAGATATGTTCTGAATGACTGCCTGGTTTGTACCAAAATAAAGATATGTTCTGAATGACTGCCTGGTTTGTACCAAAATAACGATATGTTCTGAATGTGTGCTTGTTTTGTACCAAAATAATGTTGAGTAATTAATATAAAAAATATTTGATGAAGTATAGGGGTATTGCTTCACATCATCTTAGATTGTGATAGATCTCAACGAAAAAAAAGAAACTCCTATTCCCAAAGAGTAGATGTTCTTATAACACAACTAGATGCAGATTAGAGCGTGACGTTTCGATGCCTACACTGTCGCCTTCATCTTATAACACAACCTGTAGAAGATCAGAGAGCGACGTTTCGAAGACTAAATGGATGTTCTTTGAGTCGGACCCCAAATCTTCTGCTGTTCTTGAATAATATTTTGTATACACATTCTGCGACGTTTTCTTTGAGTGTTTTATCCTGAGGCTGGACTAGGATATTTCAGCTCCTCCAGGCAGTTGGTTTGTTTCCCTCTAAAGGATTGCTGTGGACATCGGTCTCCTTGGGCGGGAAGAGCAAGCTCGTTAGCGTGAACCAATTAGTTGAGGTCCTTCTTTTATGAAATGCCAAGATTCTCTCGCATTTTCATTTGAAACATCCTTGTGTGACGGGGAAGCAATGTTGTATACACGGTGGGTCTCGCCTACGCTGAGCTGAAGAACCGGATCTTTAAAGGGGAAAATAGATTATACATAATACAAGTATTCTATAAGATCTGAACCCCCTCTGAGTAGAGAGGTAGAATGCAATTATGAAATAAGTGTAAATTGTTTTCCCTTTAGTTTCGGTGAAGCAATTTCAGAAAAATACAGCCAGCTGAGTGGTACGGGTGCTATGGGCCTCTTTTCTTAGAATGTTCTTTCTGTAACCAAGCTTGTTGTTAATAAGCATTGTGTGTTTCAGGTAAGAGCCGTGTGAACTCACAAAGTATCTTCAAGATTCCGCTCTCGTGCCTTGCTGGGCAGATGCAAACTGACAAGTCACCTCATGGATCTCCATCGTCACAATGTGCCACTCTTCTGGCTCCAATCCTAAATAATGGAGACAAGTCACCCCTACAGTCTAAACGGAGTCCTCTAATCCGAACGAAATGTGTTAACACACAAGACAAGGTCAGTTTCCATATAGATACAATATCCAATTATTTTCAACTTTGTTTATTAAACTAAAAATAGAAATGAAAAATAAACATCTTTCAAAATTTCAGTACATTAATGGTATATAGAAATCGAAAGGCTTATTAGGTCTTCATGTTTAATACGATCGCAGCTCCGTATAACAACAATCCTTAATTTAAAGTTATTTAATAATAGGTATTTAAAAACCCATATGGTCTTATGTATAATACGATTATAGGTCTGGATAATAGCAACCTTTAATTAAACATCTATTGGAATTTATAGGTTTCTCGGGTCTTCATGTTTGATATGGTTATGGAATTAATAATAGAATCCTTTACAAGATAAAAATGTGAGTTTGTTTGTTTGGTTTTTTGTTTGTTTTTTGTTTTTGTTTTTGTTTTTGTTTTGTTTTTGTTTTTTTTCGTAATCTAATGAAAACCTTTTCTGTCCTGCTAATATTCATTATTACTTAGTAATAGAGGTTTTTTTTTAACTACCTTTTTTTATAATTTTTTTTTTTTTTTTTTTTTGAAGATTTTCAACAATACATGAAACATAACACATCAAACATTCCACTCTCACATGGCCATTTTCACTTAGGTACAAAGGAATGTAAATAGAGTAAAAAATGAAAGCCTGGCATTAAGATTGATACTAAAGTAAGTGCTATGTTATAGTGTACCGTTTTTAGAGAACTACCTGTTGCATGGACTGTGTATGTTGTACAGGAGACAAACGAATTACACCTATTAGTACATATTTAGAATAAGACATATTATTGTATTTATGAATTAAACTGTATTATACAGTTGCTCTGTCCTTCTAGGACTCATCAGTGATGCTAAGGGCCTCAATTATGAAGCCTAGGAGGCGACTGAGGAAAATCAAGTAATAGATGTAGCAGTCAAGAATTAAGAAGGGGAAGGTACATTAGCCAAACTTGTATTTTTATGTAGAAAATATATTTTTAGAACAAGAAGTACGTGTGTTCATCCTAAGCTGTCACTTTGCGAATGAACAAAACGTCGCAGGCAGATCACGGCAAACCTTGGGGAAAAAAGACATGTATATTGTGTTTTGTTGCATTATAGGTAATGGTCAATTATGGTGCAAATTCATCTTTATACACGTAAGTGAGTGATGGTGCAAATATAGTGATTATAAACAACCGTAATTTACAGAAAAGGATGTGTATGGTAATGACATACCTGCGATACACATGTGTGGGCTACATCGACTATATTCGTTCGCTGTTACACTTATAGCTAGGCGCAATAGCTGCAATATATAGTGGTATGGTGTCAATGCGTTTAAAAATCATTATATGGTGTTTCTGATTGCCTGTTTATTCTGTTTTGAAGGAGAAAGATCGGCATGACTCTTCAAGCTCCGACTCTGGAATAAACATACTAAAGCCAACAGAAGGGGCAAGCAGTCCGCCTCAAAGTCCTTATCAGAAGTGTGTGGGACATATAGACTTCGCAGATCATGATGTTCTTTGACAAATAACTGAGTAACATTTTATAAACACACTTAGATAGGAGGTTTAGCAGAAACTGTAAAGTCTAAGCTCTGGCATATTTGTACGATAATTCTGCGGAGTAATTGCATCCGCAACTTCATTCTAGGTCAAGTGAAAACCAGAAAGAGAAGTAAACATCAGAACCAACAAACGTATCATTGAACTTCACACGTGTCACTGATATAGAATAATTTGCAAACTGATATGGAAAGTACGACTGATACAGAAATGTCACTTATTTCACAACATAATGGTGTGTTATATCGTTAGTTTAGGTGTAGGCAAAGGTACGTGGCGTAGAGATTTTGATGTACTTAAACGGTTAGGTTGCAATAGGTGTGACAATAGTATGATATGTCGTTAAAATATTGTCAACTAGCAATTCAGTCACTTTAATGATTTGTGCTCACATATTTTGCATAAATCATATTTTAACGTGTACTAGTTAATACAAATAGGATTTTCCCGTCTAAATTTCCTAATCTATCAAAACATACACATGTCTTAGTATTTAAGAATGGTAGTGTATGGGAACATAAATATTTATATAGAAGTCTCAGGTCAGAGCATTTATCACCCGAAACTATGTACAGACTTGAAAAAATCTTGCTTGATTCTTTCCAATAAGTCTACAGTTTAATATAGCAATGCCATCACATCTCAAATCTCCGTAACAGCCATAACGTGATAAATGTGGTGTACATTTAGGAGTCAATGTGCTTTTCAATACGAACGTTTAACAATAACACAGAATAATGATTCAATGTTTGAGTAAATGAAACGACTACGCGATACACAATTAAGAGTCGACGTTGTAGTAATCAAAACAATAAAAAATAACAACGTGTCAATAAAGTCACAATCAAAGCTCAAATTTAATCAACTAGGACCAAATATGAACGAAGAAATATTTACAAGAACGCACTTGGAACAAACGCACAAGAGAAATAAAACAAGATGTTCCTGAAGAGTAAGCGGTTTTTGCTTCCTCGAAGACAACCGCGATGGAAATCACTTCTATGCTCCAGAGGTTACAACCATTTTCGCTCAATGCATTCCTTGAACATGTTATTACAAAATTGAAGGCACAAATAATTTGATTGGTTACAGGAGAAAATACTGACCAATCACATGCTAATACGCTCCTTTTTAAGATGGAAAATATTCGTTACTATATGCTGTTGTGCGACTTTGATATTCGTTTGATGTACATCAAACGATCAAACTGGTGTTTTCATATCGAGTATCGAGGATGCGTTAATCTTGGTCAATACAGGTATGTAAAGTCACGTTCCCACGATAAACCACGGAACCAAAGGGTAAACTGATGAGCAAATGCATTTTGCATAAGATAAGGAAATATAATATTTCTTATTGAGATCATTATGACGATCCTAAACCTGACCCATCATCTCACCAGGTCACCAAGGTCCAAATGATCGTTTAGGTTATGCCATACCGACGGCGTCCAATCTTCAATCATTTTTTTCAACAACCCGTTATAAGCCATGAACTACGAAGGGGACTTTGACCAAATTTGGCCAGAAACATTCATGGGCAACTCAATTCTGTACGCATATGGGATACACACAGGATTTAATGGTCTCGTCACTAAAAAGTGACTACATGTTACACAACTAGGCTTTAATGGTTTCGTCACTAAAAGAGACTACATGATACACAACTAGGATTTAATGGTCTCGCCATTATGAAGAGACAACATGATACACAACTAGGATTTAATGGTCTCGTCATTATGAATAGACTACATGATATACAACTAGGATTTAATGGTCTCGTCATTATGAAGAGACTACATGATACACAACTAGAATTTAATGGTCTCGTCATTATGAAGAGACTACATGATACACAACTAGGATTTAATGGTCTCGCCATTATGAAGAGACAACATGATACACAACTAGGATTTAATGGTCTCGTCATTATGAAGAGAATACATGATACACAACTAGGATTTAATGGTCTCGTCATTATGAAGAGACTACATGATACACAACTAGGCTTTAATGGTCTCGTCACTAAAAAGAGACTACATGATACACAACTAGGCTTTAATGGTCTCGTCACTAAAAAGTGACTACATGATACACAACTAGGATTTAATGGTCTCGTCATTAAAAAAGTGACTACATGATACACATTTCAATAATCTGGTCGTTAAAACATCTCAAGATACGTAAGTGATATACAAAGGTGTAAAATAATCACAAGATAACTTTGAATGGTGCAGACATAAGCTTCCCTTAAGCGTTACCTCTCATCTTAATGATTGATGGTCAGAAGTTAATCTATGAATTCCATTGTTTTTCTTAAGAGTTTGTAATTTGGCACTCAATTCTTCGATATATATAACTTGAAATATGTTATCCAGGGGGTGTATTGTATTTAAAAGACTCTTTGAAACGATCGATGCCTTCTTACATAGAAAGGGTACTAATACGCAATCATGATAATCATATGATATATCTGATCAAGTTAGGTTCACTTATTGCAACGACGAAAGCTAAGAAGTAAATGTATGACAATTTGTTGTTCTTTGCTGGGGAACAATACATGCTACGGTATAGTTCACTTTGCGTAAGAAAACATGTGTTATTTAACTGGTTTTCTATGGTATCAATGTATTCAACCTCTGATAAATATACAACAATGTAGCTTCATTGTGATAGCATATCCATTAAAACTATAGATATATAATATTCAATGGGAGGCAATGTATAAACAAATATTGCCTGTATATCGATACAATAAATTACAGTATAATCAATACAATGATATATGTTATATCTATATACTATTAGGTTGTAACATTTTATGCTTAACCTGACACACATGAATGTGTTTAGAACACTGTTTACTATTTAGATTACTGTAAACTAAATTATGTTGTTTCATTAATAATTATGTTTTCATGTTTAGTTATTGCTCAGATCACATTCTCGATGACGTATATATGTGACCGAATTTAGTGTAATCTGTTTTGGTGCATGTCTTAAAACTATCAAATCGCCACAACCCATTGATATGGTCTTTCACTCCTGATGTGGCGTCAAATCGTCATGCATCCTAGTAACACAATTATTCTTATCGATTCAATACAATTTCATTAATAAACACACTTCTATAAATATTGCTTTTACCAGTGTATATTTCCTGTTTTAAATCTGGTGCAGATGAACAGTTATTAGCTCACATATCTGCAAGGCCAGCAACTTATCTCGTGTAAGGTGTCCGCCGTTCCTCGTCACCATTTCCTTTTATAAGACACCTGGATGACCACAACGCACATGGTAGTGAAAATGGCCAGTGACATCTGGCTATAAAAGGCTACCGAAATTTTCAAATGAATTGGGTCAGATGACTTAGAATAGTTTAACCACTTCTTTTCAATAACTATTGGCTGGTGGTATTTGTGTGGTGGTTTGCTTGGAATTTGGATTTTCAGGATTGCAGAAATTATCCAAACTGCAGAAAAGGGTGAACAATTCATGCCCTTGGGTCCTCTTTTTCTTAAAGGTATTGTTACATACTCCTAGTGCCTTAGCTGCAGGAAAATCATTCTGTAGATTACAATGTGGTCCCCTCGTTCTTTGCATTATCGTATGCAGTAAACATCGGAAAAACCGACGATAAACTTATGAAACGATAATCGAGTTTTTTAGGAGTGGTATACAGGACTAGTTGAATGAGCTCGTACATTTACAATTAAAAGGTATTTCAACAATCGTCTAGTTCCTTAATACATTATATTCAAGCTGTATTTCAGTTTCTGTCTGTCTGTCGTCCGTAAATTCATTAACCGTCAACCGATTCCAATGAAATTTCACATCAATAGAAAAGACCATATGCAGATGTGCATGCAATATTTTATTTTCTAAATATCTTTCGCCGTTGTAACTCTGTCAACACATTGTACTGTAAAAATAGTCATTCACAGAACTCATTTTTGTCTCAAATCATTATGAAGGAAAGTCCGTTAGAATTAAACAATAATTTAACTGAATAAAAATCAAGGTCACTGTGTCAAAAGTCTAGGTCAGGGGTTATGGTCCTATTTGGTATCTGGTCACGGATGCATCTTTTGTTGTGAAACAAAGCTGGTTGAAATTACGCAAGGAGTCAACTGATCGAAAGACAAGGTCACTAGACCAGTGATCAACGTAAATATCTCTCACAGTCTCAACCCATAATGATTCTTCCACATTGCTGCAAAGACATTCATATTTGCCAATATAGGTCCAACAGTCCTTCTTTTAATCCCATCAATACTTATCCTGCACTTTTATAATCTCTTCAGTGAAGTCTAGCTGCCCCAATGTTAGGGTTAAGGCATTTCCTATACAACAGTTCTAGTTTGTAATTAAGCATCAGTTCAATACTAACTGTAATTAATGTAGTCATTTGGTTTTGTTTGTACTGCGTCATAATTTATTCAAGTGTATCGTCAAAGTGCTAAGAAACGTGTTAGAGATACACCGAATACCACCTTTTCCCTTCAAAACTATTTTCCCATGGGGTTCATCAAGATCAATATATATATATCAGTACATGTGTATAGATATATCGCGGCTGGAAGCTTATGAATCGATATTTACTCCTCGAGTATTGACAAATTTCCTCGCTTATTGATATACATAGGATTGAACGTGAGGAATGTGTACCATCTTTTCGCGTGTTGTCATTCCTCGGTTGAAGGATGCTGGATGAATATCAACTCCTCGAGTATTGTCATAACTAGGCTGAAAAGTGATGAACATGTAATTATTCCTCGTGACTTAACTTATTCCGGCTGGAGACTAATAGTTGTATACTGATACCTCACTTTTTGGCAACTGGCTTGAAGCTGATGAACATGTATTTACTTTACGCTAATTGATATTCCTTGCTTTGAAGTTGATGAATGTGTGTCATCTTCTCACATATAGGAATATCCTAGCTGGAAGTTGATGAATATGTGTCATCTTCCCGCATCTCGACTTATACCGGTCGGAAGTTGATGAATATATGTCATCGCCTCGCATTTTGACATATCCATGCTGGAAGTTGATAGATGTATTTGATTTACTTGCATCTTGACAATATATCGGCTGGAAGTTGATCAATGTATGCCATCGCCTCGCATCTTGACATATTCCGATCGGAAGATGATAAATGTATGTCATCGTGTCGTATCGTGATATATCCCGGCTGGAAGTTGATGAAAGTGTTTCATTTCCTCGCATCTTGATATATCCCGACTGGGAGTTTATGAATGTATGTCTTCTTCTTACATCTTGACATATCCATGCTGGATGTTGATCAATGTATGCCATCGACGTATCCCGGATGAAAGTTGATTTATGTGTGTAATCTTCTAACATATTGTCATATCTCGGCTGGAAATTGACGAATGTTTTTCATTTTCTCGTATCTTGAGATATCCTGGCTGGAAATTGATGAATGTGTTTGATGCACCCGCATCTTGACAATATCTCGACTGGAAGTTCATGAAGGTGTTTCATCTCCTCAAGTCTTGAAATATGCCGGTTGGAGGTACACGAATGTGTTTCATTCTGTCGTATCTTGAGAGGACCTGGCTGGAAATTGAAGAATGTGTTTAATCTTCTCGCATCTTGACCCATCTCGGCTGGAAGTTGATGAATGTGTTTCGCCTATTCACATCGTAACATATACCGATTGGGAGTTAATGAATGTTTGTCATTTTCTCAAATCTAGTCATATCCCGGCTGGAAGTGGACGAATGTGTGACACTTCCTCGCATCTACACATATCCCGACTGGAAATTGCTGAATGTGTTTCATTTTCCCGTATCTTGAAATATCTTTGCTGGAATTTGATGAATGTGTATCATCTCCTCGCCTCATGTCATATCAGGGTTGGAAGTTGATGAATGTGTGTCATCTTCTCACATATTGTCATATCTCGGCTAGAAGTTGATAAATGTGTGTCATCTCCACGCATCTTGACATATTCCGGCTGGAAGTGGACGAATGTGTTTCATTTTTTCATCTCTTGAGATATCCCGGCTAGAAATTGATGAATGTATTTGATGCACTCGCATCTTGACAATATCTTGACTGGAAGTTCATGAATGTGTTCCATCTCCTCTCATCTTGAGAAATCCCGACTGGAAGTTGATGAACGTGTTTCATCAACTCACATCTTGACATATGCCGGTAGGAGGTTGACGAATGTGTTTCATTCTGTCGTATATTGAGATATCCCGGTTGGAAGTTGATGAATGTGTATCACTTCCTCGCATCTTAACATATCCCGACTGGAAATTGATGAATGTGTTTCATTTTCTTGTGTCTTGAAATATCTTTGCTGGAATTTGATGTATGTGTATCATCTCCTCGCCTCGTGTTATATCCAGGCTCGAAGTTGATAAATGTTTTTGATTTACTCACATCCTGACAATATCCCGGCTGGAAGTTGATGAATGTGTTTCATCGTCTCGGATTTTGATTGATCCAAGTTGAAGAATGATGGTTCTGTTTCATCAACTCGCATCTTGACATATTCCGGCTGTAAGTTGATGAATGTGTTTCATTCTCTCCTATCTTGAGATAACATGGAATAAGTTGAGGAATATGTTTGATTTCATCGCTTCTTGATATATCCCATTTCGAAGTTGGTGAATGTGTTTCATCTCCTCGCATCTTGACTTATCCCATTTGGAAGTTGATGAATATTTCTGATTGCTTCGAATCTTGACATCTCCTTCCTAGAAGTTGATGAATGTGTATCATCGCCTCTCCTCATGGTTGGAAGATGATTGATGTATGTCATCACTACGCATCATGACATATCTCGGCTGGAAGTTGATAAATCTTACATTTTGACATATCCCATTCCAAAGTTGATGAATGTGTATCATGGCCTTGCTTTTGACAGATCCTGGATGAAAGTTGATGAATGTATTTCATCTCCTGAGTATCTTGACATATCCAGGCTGCAAAGTTATGAATGTATGTCATTTATTCGGATATTGATATATTCCGACTGGAAGTTGATGAATTAGTGTCATCTCCTTTCATCTTCATATATCAAGCCTGAAAGTTGATCAATGTATGCCATCACATTGTATCTTAAAATATCCCGAAAAGAATTTGACGGTTGTGTGTCATCGCCTCGCATCTTGATATATCCCATTTGCAACTTGATGAATGTATATCATCGCCTAGCATCTTTACATATCTCGCTTGGATGTTGATGAATGTGTTTCACGTCCTCGCATCTTGACATATCCCTGTTGGAAATTGATCAATATTTGTTATCGCCTCTTATCTTGACATATATCGGTTGAAAATTAATGAATGTATGTCATCACTTTGCATCTTGACATATTCTTGCAGGAAGTTCATCAATGTGTTTCATTTCCTCGTTTCTTTACCTATCACAGTTGGAAGTTGATGAGTGTGTGTCATCTCCTCGCCTCTAGACATATCCTAGTTGGAAGTTCATGAATGTGTTTAATCTGTTCGCCTCTTGACATATCCCGGCTGGAAATTGATCAATGTGTTTTATTTTCTCTTACTTGAAAAATCATGATTGGAGTTTGATGAATGTCTGTCAGCGCCTCGCCTCTTGACATATCTCGATTGAAAGTTGATGAATATATGTCATCGCCTCGCATCTTGACATATCCCGGCTAAAAGTTATGAATGTCTGTCCTCTCCTCGCATCTTGACATATCCCGGCTAAACGTTATGAATGTCTGTCGTCTCCTCGCATCTTGACATCCTGGCTGGAAAGATATGAATGAATGTCATCTCCTCGCATCATGACATATCATGCCTGGAAGTTGATGAATGTATGCAAACGCCTCGAATCTTGACATATCCC